ACAATGGATATTGATTCATTTTCCACAAGGAAAATGGTTAGCCCCTCTCTCTGAGCAAAGGTAAAACAAGGATGGGGGCTGAGGGCGGCAGGGTGTAACTAGGCAAAATCTTTTCTTCATGTGACTGAGTTGGTGAAAAAGTGAAGGCAACAAAATAAAGTCACATCACAAGATTATGACAGCATTCACCAAAACAAACCCAAGCCAACCAGTTAAGATTGTTCACTTCTCTTTTAATCACTGATTTTCAGATTTCTTTTTTTCTAAACAAATAAATCTTAGGACAATTCAGGTAACGAAGGTTCTCAGGGACATAGTTCTCTCATCCACGAAGAACTCTCTAGGAATGCGCCAGTCTTCTGCAAAGAACTCTATTGGCTGGATTAACAAACAATCACAGAAACAAAATAGACCTTTAAAGTAAAAAACCACTGCTTTTCTATGTACAAAAAGCCACAAACAAACATGCACACCTCCTTTCTCGGGAGGACTTAAACAGATGCTTAAACATTAAGGCAGCGACCATTCTAAAACAATGAAATTCTACGTTAAGGCTTTTATGCTTGATTGAGACCCACTCCCAGGTAACAGTGACAACAGAAAATCCTTACATCGGCTGGATTCATGTGCTCAGGGCAGATGCCATCGACCCCTTCCCAACAAGTCTTCTGAACCAGATGTAGGGGACAGGGGTTTGTACTGATCCTGTTTTACTTTCATAAATGGTTAGTCCCCTTCCTCCAGTTTACTCTGAGGATTTAGCCTTCCACCACACAAGCATGTGCAAAAGGGACGGCGCACTTTCTCTGAAAACAGGGCAGACTTTTGAATCGCACTGGATTGCAACAAGTGGGCCCATGATGAGCAATTCCAGATCCCCTAAATGTGGATAGCGCCCCAACAGCGGACCACACTCCCACCCCCAAACAGAAAAAAGTCCCTGGTTTTTGAAACATTCTCACCTTTGCAGGCAGTTTGGTATCTCTCTTTAAAGGAAAAAAAAAAAAGCAAAAGACAAAAGAATGCCTTGCTTTATATGGATTTATGCTAGCCCCAAGGCACACCTCCAGATATCCATGGCTCACCTTCCCTCTCCCCACATTTAAGGAGGTGGTGAACTTTGGGTGACAGGAGGGAGTCAGATGAAGCATTGGCCCTGCCCTAGGAAACAGTGGCAGGAAGTGCGGAGTG